AGCAAAAATACTTCGGTAATCAACAGCCCAGCGACTGTGTTTGGCACGAGCAGGATCAGTGTACCTTACATGATAACATTGCAAAACACAAGGTATTGGCTCACATTTGATGCTCATATGGACCTGGGAAATATTTTTGCAAGTCCTGGAGGCAGCTATATCGATATCTGGCTCCAAAAAAAAGTACATACAATTTTTTTTTTTGGCGGTCAGCCAGACCCCCCCCCCCCTACCCCATATGGCAATCTCTTATCTTTGGTCCCCCTTGTGCTGGGTCAATAGCGACGAGTTGTTTTCGCGGTCCTTTATTTTACCAACCGTAGAGCGGAGAGAGAGAGAGAGTCGGTTAACGGCGCAAGCTACCTACGTAGCTAAGATTCCGGTGCAGTAAATAACTACACAATTACGAGAACTTATGTAATAAGAGATCGTTCTTTTAGCAAAAGTTGAGACCAGATTTTGGAGAGTAAAAAACCAGTGCGACTTTTATCCATTCGTATTGAAAATAGTGGCTGTGCCTAAATTTCCTTCACCTTTTTGTTCCCACGGTCAGTCATTTGTGATGTTTTCTCACCGTTTTTCTAATGGTCCTTAGCATTACGTAATTAATACTGTATTTTGGTCAGTGGTTCGAACCCGACTCTGCGCAAAATATCTACGTGGCCGCAGGAAGTTATGTACGTGTCTCTCCAACAGCGCACATCAATCTTGGGCACAGCAAATGACAGGAAATCTGCGGGTGCAAGAATAGAGGTTGGATGGGGATCACCTGGAACATAGCAACGGGCCGGCTGTCATGATAAAAATGGTTCTGACTGCACAGCACAGTCGAGGAAGGGTTTCAATGAGCAGGCTTAAGCCAATGAACGCGATTACGGTTGCCAATAAGTCCCAGCTTTGGCTTGTTTGCCAACGACCGATCCATCACTTTATATTTCCTTTCTGCCTTTCTCTGTGCTTCTCTCAAGCGGTCTCATGTCGCGTATATGGGTCCTGGCAACACCTCGCATCTCAAGTTTCCGAATACTGAGGCCTTCGGTCCAGAATGTCCTTCATTTTTCGCGCCATCCAGTATGTTTAATGCCGCGACGCAGCGGAGCCTCAGGAGGGCTGAGTCCCCAAGCGGCGCGTGCTACTATGTATTTGCTCTTAATCCATGGAGCTTGGACACGACTGCCTTGCAAGATCTCTTTCGTCGATACTGTTCAGTGCAGGGCTACAAGGTCAAACTACTTAGGATGCCATTGAAAGAAGACCACAAACTCGTGATGGTTCGGTCTCTCAGCGGAATGTGGTCACGGCCTGTGTATCTCGCCCGCGACCTCGACTCGGAAATTGCACTCGCATCACGCATGGGGCCAATCTAATACCTACGCTCCTGATTGTACAACCATCCATGGACTACATGTCCTGTGACTCGTCTTGGTGCTATGAGTGGTTGAGAAGGCACCCGACACCGTTCGAGATGGTGGGGTCGGAAAGAAGTCTAAGTCTGAGAAGCAAAGAGCCGCCGTTGATTCGAGGTCCCAACCCCTGTTGGAATACGGTCCAGGAAAGACACTCGTTGGTTGTCCCACACGACGCGACGTGGAGTACACATTGATCTGGGTGAGCGCGAACCACTACCCCGTGCTCGATGGCTTCGAGACTTTAAAAAAGCCGTGTAACAACTTCCAGCCTTTGTATGCTCCTGCGCCTTCGTTGATATTGGTACCGGTTATACCATTCTTCGGTCGTGAATTCGCATTTATGCCCTTCGGGGGTTCAGAGAACATAATCGATAACATTGTGTATGGATTTGATAGTATGTAGACTTCATTTCAGGTTCGTATCCCACTGCATTATGTTTTCAAGGCCACTCTGCCCCATCCTCTCACAGGTAATTTCTCTTGGAAGCCAGTTGCACCCTATCCAAGACTAATTTTGCTCAGAACGAAGGTGAAAACTACGGAGGTATGTTGGCTGAATTTCGTGTCAGAAATCAGACTGACGCTGTGCGTCCAAACCCCTGAACAGTCGGTAAGTGGTGAGTTCGCGACCGATGTTGGCGCGCGCTAGCCGCACACGCTGCGCCAGACGCGAACCCGCGCCGGATGGACATGTGCGGCAAGCGGCGCGACTCGGAGTTGTGTTGGCTTGGAGTGTTTGTGGATATACAAGACAGATAAGTCACCTCGGTCGAGTATAAGCGCAGGTGGACGTCGACTAGCCGAGCTCTGCTCTATGCTTGGGGGACCACAACGCAGGTAACGCGCGTCGGGAGTGCCGAATTATTGTCGATATCCGCGCGCGTTGAACCCGGTCGCGCATGTAGGGCACAAGTGTGAAGGGAGGCCGCGCGACGCGGAGCTGGCAGCGGCGCAGTGTGCTAAGGCTAAGGCGGCGGGCGGGGAGGAAGACGATCCCGCAGGAGGCGGAGTCATCTGCCGCATCTGCAACGCGGGGCTCGCTGGAGCGGTGGCGGTGGCTCTTGCTCAATATTTTCCCCTTTCGTATTCCCGTTCCCTCGTGTTTGCAGGCAAGCGAAAGGCAGAATGGTGCGTGGGCGTGCGGGTCGTACGCCCAGGACTTGGTCGGCGTGACGCGTGGCTTCCCATGTACAGAAGAACTCCCTGTAGAACTCGCCTCCGGGAGCTGGATGACCTCCTTGATCTCCTTGCCCGAAATGACGCGAAAGAACTGATATGATACCTTCAAGGCTCAGCACAAGGCAGCGTTAGGTTCGAAACGGTGGCTGATGGCGCGGACAAATAGATGACATTCTGGACCAAAGGCCTCAGTATTCGGGAAATTGAGATGCAAGGCGTCGCCAGGACCCATATACGCGACGTGAGACCTCTCGAGAGAAGCACAGAGCAAGGCAGAAAGGAAATATAAAGTGATGGATCGGTCGTTGGCAAACAAGCCAAAGCTGGGACTTATTGGCAACCGTACGCGATATATCCTGCTTTAGTTTGAACCCAGGGTACCAGAGTTGAGCTCCCCGAAATCCTATTTGTTCTATGTTTGGCTGTTCTGATCGATCTGCAAAAAAGAGCTTTAGGACCCATAAAATTTTATTTGAACTGGACACACAATTCCGTAACCTTAATTAGCATCTCTGTAGCTCCTATGAATTTTTATGGATTGATATAAGCAGGGGTGCCACAGTGGGGCTCCCCGAGACTCTGTTTGTTCCATGTTTGGCTGTTCTGATCTATCTTCAAAAAGGGCTTCCGTTAGTGCCCACAAAATTTATTTGAACCAGACACACAATTTAAGGACATTAATTAGCATCTCTTTAGCTATCCTGAATATTTTTGGGTTGATTTAATCAGGGGTGCCACAGTGGGGCTCCCCGACATTCTGTTTGTTCGATGATGTTTCACTGTTCTGGTTGGTCTGCAAAACATCTGTACCCACAAAATTAATGATATGAGAAGGTAGGATTCGCAAAATAATTGCTTTAATCCCAGGTGAGTGGGCTCCGCTGTGAAGTGTTATTCTGACTAATATTAGCACTCACGGTCCCCCGATTAGACGCGACACATACGGTCACGTGGTGTGCGGCCTGGGTGAGATTTCTCAATTTTAAGCGTGGATTCGACGGTGGAATTATAACTTAGGTAGCCTGCTGCGCGGCAGGGCCCGCTATCGGCCTTTTTCGTATGTTGTGAACTGATAAATTCTAAAGTACACCGATGTATATTACGGTATTACAGGTAGACTGAACATAAAGGAAAAAGCAGCTATCGGAAACGGGGAGGGAGAGGATTGAACGATTTCAAAGTTGTCAAAGCAGCATTCAAATTTTCAGGATTCAGGTTTATGAAATTCAGGGTTTCAGAATCAACAGGTTTATATTCAAACGGTGAACCGTGTAACACATTAGTGTCACTGAAACTCAAACAAGAGTTCGAAGACGTACATGATCTGGTACTCTCTCTGTTAGGCTAGAGAAATGGGCTGAAGCTGACAAGGTATAAAAAAATAATCACATCTTCCCGCAGAGATTGACTCCAGGTAGGGAAGGCAAACTACATGACCGGGAATGACTGGGATATTTGAAGTTTTGAATGAGCTGCGAATTAAAGCCAAAAGAAAAATAGAAGCGGCAGACCTGCTGCAGGAGGGGCAGGCGAGGATGAAGTTAAAGCCTGTTCAGCGCAGGGAAACAAACTGGAGGGCAGACAAGACAAAAAGAAGACCCATGCATCAAATGTATCCCAGACTGGGATACCTGCCGAGACAGGGAGGCTCGAAGAGAAGTACTCCAGTTCATCCCAAAAACAATGTCATGGGATAGATGTTCGACAGTATAAAATTCCAGTAGAAAGACCAAAGGACCCGACGCGCCAGCATGCATGAGACAGCAAAAAGAAGGGGTCCAGGGGTAGGTCACAACAAAATCTGAGCGAGATCATGGTGTGGCGGGCATTGGAATGAGAAAAAGACAGAGGGTTGCATCCGTCGACATGGGGGGGTCTCGAGTATCGGAGACGCCGGAAGAAAGCGGCGAATGGACGGAAAGGGATGCCATCAAGGGATGAAAACGACGTAAAGGGGTCTCCATGAAAGGAAAAATCGTCCATAAAAGGTGAAGAATCACAAAGCATTTGCCTAAACAAGACAGCTCTGAAACGCGAGATACTGCAGTTTTTGAGCACCCCAAAAACCCACTAAAGATAGTGGGACTTTTAGTGGGATAGTGATGATATGATATGTGGTACTGACTAAATGAATATAGTTTTTCAAAAAATAAGTTCGAGTACATCCCGGGCAACGCCACGGCCCTACACCCCAAGTAAGTAAAGTATCGAGGGTATACAATGTATAAACCGTAGAGCGGATACCGGTGGTGTAAGGCTATTTATATTTTTCCGACATCCTGGCGCAAGTGGAATGCGGTCAAGTTTGCCGTGGCTTCCAAAGGATTTAAAGCACCCACGCGTACCAAAATGCTGCTCCAGGGAGACGAAAAAAAAAAAAAAAAGAAAAAAGAAGTATCCACGTTGGATGAGTGACCCGGGCCCGAATCGAACGGGCGACTTCCGCCACATGCTATTTTGGCAATGTTATATAGAAGCAGGTGCACACCATGCGCAACCAGGTCTTCTCTGCTCATCATCTATGAAGGAATACATACAGAAGAGATTAGGTCAATATCGGCAATGCACTCGGCACGTGTTTTGAGGATTTTGGACTCATGTGCAGTCAATAACTTGAATTTTCTAAATCAAATGCGTTGATTGCGGGACCGATGAGATTTGGTGAGCAAAACGAATCGGAATGATTTGTAGACAGCGATGCCGTTTATCACTTCTGTCTAACTGCAAGTATTAGACAGCGATAGCGCGTACATCTATCCCCTTCCTCTCTTCTCTCTTCTATCCTTCTCAACACTCTCCCCACGTACATGCACCTCTTCCCCGTCCTCTTCCCTCTTCCCTCCCCCTCCCCTCTCTCTCCGGACTCACATCATCCCATCGACACCTGCCGCTACTCTCGCATTTACGCTCTCAGCGCTTTCCTCTCTCTCCCGGCTCTTCCTCACCGCCAAATCCTCCATACGCAGACAGGAGCAGACCCCCGCATCCACATCTCCCTCTCCCTCCCTTCCTGGGGGCCTTTCTGTTCGTTGTCGACGACATCGAGCACGTCCTTTTGCTGCTACGTGTCAGTCACGTGACTTCCTCGAAACTTTGGCGTTCGCCGCCGGCAAGGCGGAGGAGTGTCTGGCGAGACTCGTATCGCAGTTGAAGTTTCACAAAGTAAGTATCGAGATCCTTTCCAATCATTCACGCTCATGCTAATTTTTGGCTCCATGTCAAGCGCCTTATCGTCGTCGACCGCGGTACATCCCACACAATTCTTCTTAGGCAAGATATTGATTCACGAAATTTCCAGCGAGGTTCCACCGCTTCAACACGAACTAGGTGTTCCCAACGCCCGTCCCCCTCAAAGAGCGAACACGACCGTCGACCACGTCCATGCCGGCGTGGACCCGCCCAACATATACGGGATATACGGCAACATGGGATACGACATGTATGGCGAGCCAGTAATGATACCGACGGCGGTGATCCCGGGTTAGGCGTTCGGCGACGGCGCATGTGCAGTCGAGCGCGGCAGCCGGGACCGCTGCGGCAGAGCTGGCGGCAGAGGAGCTACTACTAACGCCAACGGTGATGTATGATCTTAGATGGCTGGCGTGCGTACTTGTGTCCTGTTTTCCACATCTATCCTACCGTCCATTATCTTCGTATTTTCTCCTGTTCAGCTCTTGACAACTATATCTTCTCTTGCGCCCCTTCGTTATAAATCCGCTGACACCCCCGCAGTCGAATTCGACATCACCATGAGCGTCCCCGTCACCTGGAACGCAGAACCTTTCGCGAACCTTGTACTCCCCGCGAACCGCAAGGTAATTTTTCGCTCGTCGAGGCACAACTATCGAGGAGGCGGGTTCCGGCGACTTTGTCAAGGGCAAGGGCGCGGGGCTCGTTGTGAATCTCTTCGGCCTTCCCGGAGTTGGTCAGTATTATCCACTCTCCTCCCTTGCATCATACGACTCCGCTGACGCTACCCCCAGATAAGTCCTTCTCGGCGAGCGACGAGCGGGTATGGGAAGCGCCCACTGTAAGTCATCGCGGTCGGGGATCTCCGCACGCGCGGCAGATATAGATGCGGCGCCGGAGTGCGTATTTCATGTCGCGACTGCGTAGAAGGCTTTCGTGCTCTTTAAAGCGGTATATCTCCTTCTCCTAGATACGAAGCAGAATATTAACAATGAATCCAGCCGGATGTATGCCTCGAGCGCCGCTCGCTACACAACCTCGAACGGAACGCCGACATGATTGCCGTCTTGTGAGTACCACATCTTTTCACACTATGAGCAATAATGTTCATCGATATTCGCCAGATCGCGCCACGTTAAATCTTACCGCGGGATCCTCTTTCTACCAACTGCGTGCAAGCCTTCGGTGTGGCGCGCGTTCATCGCGCGCGGGGGCGTGCGGAATATTGCGGACGATCAAGTCGTCTTGCTCGCAAGGCGCGGCGTGAATCGGCGGCAGATCAAGAACCCTGTCCGTATAGCGCATTCCATTGAGCTCGGGCCGCACGAGGTAGTCGCTTTGCGCTAGTTTGATTGCGAAGGGCAAGTTTACGGAGCAGTTTGAAGGGATGGGGCGGCGTCGGAGAACATGTGAGCACGGAAAAGATAATATTTTGTACGGACGATGTACAACTGAACGTTAGGCAACACGAAAATAATATATTTCGACGAGGATGGGACTACAGTATAATCGTACAGAGGCGACAACGAACGGGTCAGTCTCACAGTGAATACCGCGAAATTATCGGAAGATCCGGGCCAAGATTATTATTATTACTTTGCGTCTCCTTCAGGAATTCCCTCTACACCTATCACCAGAAGGCTCAATATCACTGACATTGAGTCTTGTGTGTGGAACATGTCAGTCTTGCCTTTTAGGGCCTGATAGGGTGCATTAGAATGGATTCCTAAGAATCGAAGCCAAAACAAATTCTAAGAAAATTCTAAGAAAGTTCTTGTGCACCCGATCAGGCCCTTAACAATGTCAGTGATATTTCCTGTGGATGATGTCAGTTGTAAAGACATGACCGAGGCTTTGAGAGAGGATGAGAACTTCCGGCTGTATGTACTATAACAGCACATTGACTGTTACGTTGTGCGTTCCTTCCTTGCGCACGGACCATCTACGATCGGGTTCGGGTCGGGTCCGACAATATCCGAAACACATTGCCGCCAAACACGGTTCCTTCTTCACCTTCATCGAGAAAGATTCGATTCATCCTCCCGAGGCTATGCCATCTCACTCTCCTTTCGGATACGAGGATCTTATCACGGAACCTGTCTAGGCTCCATATGATAGCCCCCCACCTGCGGCCCGCTCACTGTCCGAGACAATTCTCACTAGTACTGGTATCTGTATATAATGCGCGCGGAGAGTATGACGACTCCAAGCTCTATCCCGACATCCACACTACGAAAATGTCGACAAGCATGGACTCGGCTACTCAAGCATCCACGATATCCACGAATACCGGATACGCACCGATGTGACTTCCCTTTTTCTCTCCATCATTATGTTTTTTAATGGCTTCTCCCCAGAGTAACTCCACAACTCATCGGGTCGCTACTCAATTTTTCTTCTTCGGTATGCTCCTGGTACAAAGCTGTGTGTCCACTCCTCTCTTCCAACACCGCTACCCTCGTTCTGACACACATTCAGACATCTACCGGTTATGCTTCCCAAAAGACTCGCTCGGCATCAAGCTCCTCGGTGCGTCCTCATCCGTTCAATTACTCATTCGGGTCTGATCCACGGTGTTGCAGTATACTTCATCCTCCTCGCCACGACCGTATGCACCTGTCTCAACGCCGCGGACGTTGAGTTCTGGTTCGGCACGGGCTTCGGCGATATCGCACGTTTCGACGACCCGCGCAACTTGCGAATCTACACACCTTTGCTGGGATCGCTAATCGCGATGGTCGTGCAGATGTTCTTCTCCTTCCGCATGGTCAGTATGCGTCACTCAGTATGGCCGATAACTATCCTCGTTTTCCCTATCCTCGTTTTCCTCGTGCGTCGTCCGTTCACTTTTTCAGTGCTCCATCTAATTTCCTCCCTCCCAGAGTGCGATGTTACAGTGCACCGGAGGCATGGGGACCGGCATTCTCTCCTACATGGAGGCCGCTATGCACGACACGATGCGCACCATCTTCGTTTATCTCTGGCTGATTGGTCGAGCCGCTGTAGACTTACTGATCGCCGTCACCATGACCGTCCTCCTGCGTCCTGTTCTTACTTGACTAATCAGTAAGTGTATTAATCAAACTGCAGATACTTAAAACTTCTATTGCTCCGCGTGACATCTTCAAAACCGCGGTCCGCCTCATCATCGAGACGGACGCCTTATCTGCTATAGCCGCCCTTCTCGGCCTCATCCTTTACGTCGGTGTACCAGTGCGTTCCTCTTTGATTCATTCCTCAACCACAAATGATACTAACAAATTTCTTCTCAGAACACGAACTACTGGACTTGCCCAACCATGGTCCTCCCCGCAATGTACGTTCATATTTACATTCCTCCCATTCGCATATCTAACAAACCCCCACGCAACACCTCCGCGAACACCCTCCTCCTTGCGCTCAACCACCGTCGCGAGGACTCCGAACTAGCGACTCCGCCGATGTCCCAGACTACCTCCTCTCCACGCAACGCCAACACCAGCGGCACTCGGAACGCCCCGGTGTACAGCGCCTCCAGCCCCGGGCGCGTGCTCAGCGTGCCCGCCATGAATTTCAAGCGCCGTGAGCGCGAGCAGCAGGGTGAGAAGGAGGTTCGCGGGCGAAGCAGCGTGGAGAAGAAGTGGGGTGACGAGTCGGATAGTGATAGTGATTACACAGGGGGCAAACATGATGGCACTTGTCATATGCGCATCCGCCAGGCATGCGACAAGCACTTGCTGGGGCATGTGTCAGGCATGTGTCAAGCATGCGGCAGGTAATTTCTCACCTACCGAGTCACTATGATTGCGCACAACCACCATCATCGATTTGGTGAAAGACGAATAGATCGTTCTGAAGCCAATCGAGAACTCAGATAGGACTGAGGATTGACTAGGCACTGCACTGCTAGACAGCGACAGTGACCTGGGACAGTCCTCAGCCTGCGAGTGGAATTTGAGCGGGAAAAGCTAGATATTTTGATACGAAGTGCTCGGATCTGGGCGGCAAGTCGGCCGATTTGTAAGCGCCTTACGAGCGCCACGTCGCACGTCGTACTTCCTCTCGCCCAGTGTCCTCCATTTGACCTTCCCTCGTCTCTCGAGACTTTCTGGGGGAGGGGGACGACTCAATCTCACCTTCCTTGTCGGTGACTCCGGCCCTTGGTGGGAAAGGTTACTGCGCATCACAGATCGTACCCCACCAACAAGTCGACAAGAGTGACCCGAGCCGACGCCGAACGCGCCCTCCTCAAGCGTCATAGGTGCAGCAGCCACAGGACGTGACGCGTCGTACACGCGCCGTCCGCGCGCTATCTACCCGTATAACACGCGCCAAA